ATACATATTTATGCATATGTATATGCTCATATATATTTGATGAATTTATGTATATTATATATAGATATATGTATAACAATATATCTTATATAATGCATTAAAGCCATAGATATTATATCATGTAAACATATATATCATAATTTGATTCTAATATTCAAAAGTAATATTGGAACTGGTGAAACTTTTATGTAGCTGTGACACTGGAGACATCTTTCTTCTAGGTGCTTATCACATTTATTGTTGTGGTTCTGAGTGATTTGCTGGTTTTTCCACGTTTCAGTAGGTCCTTCATCCAATATGAAACTTCTTCAGAATAATCATTCTATGTCTTAGTCTCTTTTTTTTCTATTGTCCAACATTCAAGTTTTTTGCTCATCATCAGTATTTTTATAGCTTAATATTTTGCTACTCTTAACTGGAAACTAGATGTTTCAAGTCTTTGGATTGAGATAGGGAAATACATTAATAAAAACAAATCAACTACGGTAGAAGTGCATATCTTGATAAATAGAATTTATGGAGGTTTGTTTTTCAGCAATAACATCTTGTAAAATGGCTTTTGTCCTAACCACTTCTTTGGGAACAGCTTCTCCCTCTCACTTCTATGTTATGTCAGTGGAATAGATTTAATAGATTATCTAGGCTTTATAAGAAAGAACACAGTATCCTGAAAAATCACCTCATTCTCTCAAAGAAAACTAGATTGAAGTCATGAATTTCCTATTACTTTGTGTGTCAAATTCTCAGATATCCCCTTGGCTACGAGCTTTGATGCTGCTTGATGTTCCTGATAAGATGGCAGCATGGAGAATCCCAGGATTCTTAGAAACAACTGTGCTTGCCCATAGAGAGAGACATTTATATTTTTAACTCTCAATCTTTTCCAATCCTCAGCATAAGAGTTCAAAACACTTATATAAGCCAAACAAATAGATATTGGGTTGTTGAATATATATTGGCGTGTTAGCGCTATTTTTAAGGATGTTGTCATCCCTACAACTGGTAACAAGAATGCAAAAAATAATATTCCAATCAAAGCAATGGTATTATATTTTATGAATTATCACTTTTTGTCATGAAAATAAACTTTTTTATATGACTCTGAATGAAAGTCAGGATTCTTTTCAGTACATAGCTGATTTTATATGAGTTTAAATCTGTTCTTTGTTTTTTCCAATCTCTTGCTTTAAAACACACTAACTAATCAGTTGACCAAGCTCTAGTGGCCATTATGTCTACTTGCAAACTAGCAAATTCAGTTTTCGACATAACAACACAAAGTAAAATGAAGTGGAATGCTGTGATTTTAAGGGGGCTTTGCCCGCCTTTGTTCTGTGAACTTTGCCAGCTTTCACATCATAGCAGTCTCACAGCCCTTTGTTCAAACTCACAACATCCAACATCGAATGTAAAGAATGGCTTTACATTGTCATTTTCTTACTGGAGGAATCCAAATGCATCAAGAAAAATGCTCATCAAGGCTTGGAACAAAAAGAGGTATTTATTTTACATGTGTCCTAGTTCTGTGTAACTCAGCATCATGACAAATGGGTTGGGACTGCAACTGAGAGTTGAAGTTCTGTTCACCGCCTATGAATCACGAAGCCCAAACGCATGGCCCAACATGATAACCCTTTTACATATTAGGTACTGATACTGGGGAACATTGATGATTACCACTATCTCATACACGTGAGTAAAGCCAGACCTGAGAGAGACATTGCAGACTTAGGCTGTTTGCTCTATCAGATGTCTATTAGTCAATCTTTCCACTTACACACCTGGCTATGGTTTCTATAATTTATCCGACTGTGGATAAGAAATACAAATGATTTCAGGGAAGCCAGTTTGACAGAGTAGAGAGAGCACTGGATGAACTTGGGAAGGTGGTGTGGCTCAGCTGTCATAAGCGTAAGTGGGGAAGTCCAGCAGATTTGGATCTGAATCCAAGGCAGTTTGGTCACTTCCTGGCAGTTTGACCTTGAGTAAATTATTAGCTTCTTTATCTTTCCATTTTCTCATTTTTCTGATAGAACTGTTGTGAGGAATAAAGTAGATGTTATTTTTGAAGTGAATTGTGCCATGCCTCTCTAACGGTAAGAACATGATACAAGTAGCTGTTATTAAGGTGGTACATCTGATACACGTTTTTCTGTCCACAACTCTAGAGCTCACATGCAATCATTTTCCCAATGTAAATGGAAAGTTTATACCAGATGAGTTCAAATAAACTGACCAAGTTTCCAGTTGTGTTGTTTTCTCTATTATTTGCCCCTTGCTCTTTTAGTTGATTTAATGGCATCCAATACTTACATAAGAAACATTTAAAGAGTTGAAAGATAAGATAGGCAAGAGGTTTGTGGAGGCAGTCAGCAAGGGTGATGCTATCATTTGCCTAGATAGTAGGAAAAAAGCTATGGAGTAACAATGAGGTAGAGGGAAGTGGGGAGGGCACTAAGGGGAGTGAGTGGGGAGCATGGGAAGGGTCAGAATATCAAAGGGTGTATCTCTGCATTCCAACCAAGAGCAGGAGAGGGTCAGCATCAGTGAGCAAGGGAAAGTTACACCAGTGACTTTACACAGATGATATGGCTGGACATTGCAGAAAAGTTACCTCAATAACTTGTAATAACTAGTCAGAACTTAGTTATTGCTAGTCAGAATAACTAGTCAGAAAGTGCCTTGAAAAGATTCCTAGAAAAAATAAATGAAGGTAACAATTTTGCAATACACTCAGAAATAAAGTGTAAAGAGAAGAAAAGAGGATTGCCAGTAATGGAGAAAGAGCTTGAGGATGCTGAAGGCCCTTGAAGGGGATTATTTTGCAACAAAGGAAAGCCAGCTCACAGGGGATGGCTTCTTGAACTTTCTCTCTGTTTCCCATTTCTCTTCCTCTTCAAAAAATGTCATCCGTTTTATTCAGGTCAGAACAATTTGCCAAATGTGCTATTTAAATATTGGTTTTAGAACATTTCCTTGATTTAAAAGTACACTACCAAGATGGGCAAAAATCCAAGCTATTTCTTTCTGTAGTCTTTGTCATGATTTATAGGGTAGTTTTTTTTTTTTTTTTTTCCTACCAAGGATAAAATGGAAGAAGACCAGAATGTAAAATTGCACAAAATACACAATTGCTGACCAAAAAAAAAAATACATTGGCTAGAGCTATTGCAAAGGGTATTTTATATTATTCAAATGATTCTGATTATCTTTTCAAAGATGTCTGAAAACTAATGTTTCTTTTTTTAACAGGAACATTTGAAGAACAGAAGGGGAAGACTAAGGGAATTCTACATAAAATAAATTTCTCTTATGTATGAATAATATCTAGCTAATGTTTCTGATTCTGTTATATACACAGACATTAACTGTTACAGTTATGATTAAAGGCTTGAAGAAAGGAAGCTGCCACAGACGAATGCATTCAGATCTTGTTCCCTGAGCTATCCCAGGACCTAAAGCAATGCCTGCCATGTAGTTGGCACTCAATAAATATTTGTTACATGAAGGAAGAAATAAAGCCCTAGAGAAATCAAATTAGTAAGTGAATTCTTTAATCATCGCCAGCTGAGCGCTACTTGGGCCAAAAAAAATCCCAAAGTATAAATGGAATCTCACAGTTTGGGGTATCTCAGCCTGAGCTGAGAATCTTATCCTGGTCATCATAGTAGCTTGGTGTATAGGCAACTGTGAAAATAAATCAGTCTGCTCAATATGAAAAGAGAAAAAGAAAACAATCTAACTCCTTATATGGATTGGCTGTTCCGTGTGTGTGTGTGTGTGTGTGTGTGTGTCTAAATTTTTCTCAGTGATGTATCCTCAGGTGATCTTCTCTCTGGTTTACATCAGCCTCTTTAGAGAAGACTCCTGGTGTGGACTAAAGCTAAGAAAAGTATATCTAAAGCCTGAAGCACCTGTTTTGCATAGTGTTTCTAGAACGTAAAGCTGTTTCCCTTAGCAACGATATTTTTCTTAGAATGGTTAGTAAATTATCTTTGAATCTTAAAATATGTAATGGCCTACAATTATGTACAAAAACACTTCAAAATTAGAGCCATCCTACTTCATTCCCTGATTATCTCATACCTGTGTAACTCCTAAAGCTTCCTGAATTACTTCCCATGTCTTCCTTATTCCCTTCCACAACATACACACCAATCTACTCTAACAAATATCTTCATCACATGGCTGCCTTACTTAAGAATTTATAATAATCTCTCAATAAAACAAAATAGGAAAAAGCGCAGAACATTATTTGCTGCAAATCACTGAAATAAATAAAGAGGATGAAACTATGGGAAAGAATGCTGCATTTAGCATAAGACTAGTAAAATGACTACTACCAAAAATAGATCCTAGGAGAAACAGCAGATATATATAGTAGCATTTATGCCAATTGGATGAGAACCAAAAAAAACTATGCATATTTCCCAGGTAATAAACAATGTGTAGCTTTTTTTTTTTAATTGGGTTCTAAGATATCCAAGAAGGATCTTTTATTGGTCCTTCCAAGACTGCAGATGGAAGGAAGGGGGTGCATATTTGTGGGGGCCTAGATCTGCAGCATGGAAAAGCACAGGAGGAGGGCTGACTTAGTGTTTCTAGAGATACTCTGTCTTGTTGTTCTGAGAACAAAGCCCTAACCTAGTATCTACAGATACTCTGTCTTATTATTGCAAGAACAAAGCCCTAACCTAGTAACTACAGATACTCTGTCTTATTATTGCAAGAACAGAGCCCTAACCTAGTAACTAGAGATACTCTGTCTTATTATTGCAAGAACAAAGCCTAAACCTAGTATCTAGAAATACTGTGTCCTATTATTCTGAAAACAAGGCCCTAACCTAGATATGCTTCTGGTAGGTAGGGAGGGAAGTTAGAACACAAGAACAAAACAGCAACTGCTGCTGAGCACAGAAAATGCATAGTATATCCCACACAAAAGCACGGAGCAATACCTGTGCTCTAGAGCGGCACTGGTCAACAGACATTCTACAGCGATGGACATCTGTATCTGTGCTGCTGATATGGTAATGCAGTATTCAATGTCAATTAATTTAAAATCAATTTTAATAGCTTCTGAAACTATTATCTACAATCTCCAAATAATTTAATTTCTCTGAAAACCTAGATCAAAACAAATATGAAAAATTTATAGCAAATAAAGCATTAAAAGATGAAAACTGAGCTGGAAAAGCAGAAAAGAAATTTGAAGATAATAAAGTAATTGGAGGAATTAAAACTAATTAGAAGCAGTAAGAACTAGAATAGATACCGCTGAAATAGAATGAGGTACATAAAGAAAACACTTGAGAAAATAGTACATATAATAAAGAAAAAAATAAAAGGAAGCAAAGAAGGAAAACACAATTGATTTGAAAGCAGATTCCATACACATATCATAAGTTTTTCTTAACCTGAAAATAGAACAAACAAATAAAACCAAAAATATGTTCCAATACATATTGTAAAATCTTCCTAAAATAAAGTAAAACATAAATATGTTGATAGCATATTGTGTTTCAGGAAAATACAATACAAAATGACCAACTTTAAGACGAGTCCTGAGATTGTATTCTTCAAAGAAGATATGAAGGAAAAATAAAACTGAAAAAAAGGGGAAAAAAATCAAGAATAAAGAAAATTCGAAGAGCCTTAAAATTAGAAAGCAAGTGCCGGTCGGCAGAGAGCGCGGAGAGACGCAGAACGCAGCCAGCTCCTCCAGGGCCCTGCAGGCCCTCCGCCCCCGGGCCGGCGGGTGAACTGGGGGGCCCTGGGACAGACCTACCCTGTGCTATGCAGATACCGGAGGCCTCTGCTGCGGCTGCCCACTGGCTGTGCCCAGGCCTTGAAGCCGCAGCGAACCTCTCTTCCCCACCCCACCTCGGTGACTGATGGCGGCGGCGGCCTCTCCCAGCCCGGACTCGGCCGGCCGCCGGGTCTTCCGGCCCAAGCCTGCCGGGCCTCAATGAAACCCCGGCAGAGCCGCCGGGACGCAGCGCCTTTGGGCGGCGGCGGGCGTGACGGGCCGGGAAGCATGGCGGCCGCTGGAACGCCGCGGGCGGAGGCCATTAGGGCGTGTAGGGCCCTGGAAGGCGGCCTAAGGACGCAGGCAGGCTCGGCTGCCTCTTTAGGCCACAGAGCCGCGCAGATCCGGTTCCCGGGTGACCACTCTGTCACCATTGGGCGAGACCTACCTAGTCCTGACGACAACGGACAAAGGCCTTAACGGGCCTGGGAGGTGAGCGAAGTCCCGAACGACGGCAGGTGGAACGATTAGCGGCCATCGGGCAGTTGGCCTTCGTTCTGCCAGACTTTGCTGTCTGGCAGAGAAGAGAGAAATGGTAGAAGACAGGCCACGTTTGGCCCTTTGTAAATGCCCACCACCCTCTGGGAAGATTTACTGGTCGATTATGGAAGGCTTGCGTATATAATGTGAAAAAGCTGCTCTCAACTCCACCCCAACCTCTTAATAGAAAACATTTGTCACATCTAGCCCTTTTAGATGGAAAGAGGTTGCCGACGTATGATAGAGTTAGAAAGTCACACATCTTGTAAATTCTCATTTGTTTAAAAGAAATCATAGAAAATACATGTCTTCTGGAGATGAAGATCTTCTGGAGACGTGACTTTTGGAAATGAAGTTGTTAGACGGCCTCTGGAAGCGATACGTCCACGTTTGTTAAGTGGGTTAGATGACACGGAGCTGGAAGACGTGAGAAGGAAGAGAAGAAGGTTCTATGCTAGACTGGTCATATTTAAAAGACATTTTCATATTCTATCCATTGTTTTGTGTGCATTTTATTCCTCACTATTGTGTATATAGTTGACAATGCTAAGATTTTTTGAAATGTCTGTTCTTTTTAGATGTTCTGAAGTGCCTGATATATGTTAAAATTAGAGGTAGCAAAATAACATTTTGTAAATATCTTTTTGTTACAATTCATATTTTTGGGGGGGAATGACCGAATCACCTGTTGAGTAATACTCATTGTGTTTGTGCAGTGGTTCAGAGGAAGAGAGAGGAGGGGGAGGTGCAGAGAGTTCTATGCCATCCTGCTTACAGCGAGGCAAGATGAATCATTATCTCTGCATTTTGTTTTGCTTATCTGTGTATATAGTGTACATAAAGGACAGACGAGTCCTAATTGACAACATCTAGTCTTTCTGGATGTTAAAGAGGTTGCCAGTGTGACAAAAGTAGAGTTTAAACTAATATATTTTGTACATTTTGTTTTACAAGTCCTAGGAAAGATTGTCTTCTGAAAATTCAATGTCTTCTGAGTTGATGGAGATGGGAAGGGTTCTAGGCCAGAATGTTCACATTTGGAAGACTCTTTCAAATTATAACTGTTGTTACATGTTTGCAGTTTATTCAAGACTGCTATGTACATAGTGGACAAATTAACTCCTTAATTGAAACATCTAGTCTGTCTAGATGTTTAGAAGTGCCCGTTGTATGTTAAATGTAGAGGTAGTAAAATACCACTTTGTAAAGATCTTTTTGCTAACATTCATAGGAAATACTTTTGGAAATTGAATTGCGAAGCTACCTTTGTAAGCAGTATAGTAATGTCTATACTTGTTCAGTGGTTTAGAGGAGGTGGGAGGGAAGAAATTGCAAAAGGTAATTTACCTTTTATATTTTATACTAGTGTGTTCATACTTGGACATTTTCAGACAACATTTTTCTGTATATTTTGTGCATTTTGTTTTGCTCTGTATATAGCGTATATAATGGACAAATAGTCCTAATTTTTCAACATCTAGTCTCTAGATGTTAAAGAGGTTGCCAGTGTATGACAAAGTAGTAAAATTAGCATATTTTGTATGCTTTGTGTTGAAATTCATAGGAAGACTTGTCTTCTGTAAATGACTTTTGCATAGGAATTTGTTCAGCCATCTCTAAGCATTACATGTTCCTGTACTTGTCCCCTGGATTGAAGGCAGAGAAGGAAGGGAGGAGGGAATGATTCAAGGCCAAAATGGCCACATTTAGAAGATACCTTAGATGATAACCATTGTTATGTGTGTGCAATTTTATTTAACAGTGCTGTGTATGTGGTGGACAAGTTATATGAAATATCTAAGTCTTTCTAGATATTTGGAAGGAAGTGCTTGATGTATTTAAAAGTGGTAGTAGAATAACACTTTCTGTAAATAGCTTTTAAAAACTGATGGGAAATGTTGTTTGGAAGTGGAATTGTTGAACCACCTGGGAGGTGGGAGGGAAGAAATTGCAAAAGGTGTTTTGCCGTTGTTTATTAGAAAATTTCAGCTTAATCCATTGCCTGTATGTTACATGCATTTCATTTAACTTTGCTGTACTGTATATATTGTGTATATACTGGACAAATGAGTCCCGATTTTGTAATATCTAGTCTCTAGATATTAAAGAGGTTGCCAATGTAAAAACAAAACAAACAAACAAAAAAAATTGGAAAGCAAATCACCTAAACGTTAGAGGGAAAAAAACCAGAGTTGCCTAAGAAATCTTATCGCAGTGTTCAATGTCAGATGACAGTGCTAGAATGTGTCTATAGACTTTTGAGGGAAAAAAATACGAACTCCAGATTTTATATCAGCCAGATAATTTACATACATAAACATAGCAGAATGAGATTCACTAATGAACAAAAACTAAGTGAAGATGGAATTTATGAGTATGTGTGTAAAAATTGGTTGATAATGAAGCCAGTCAAAAAAATGAAATGCATGAAATAAAAACATCGGGAAGGAAGAAGCTGTAATTGATAGTGGGCATGAAATTCATTCAAATGTAGAACTAATGTACCTGAGACAGAGTAGGAAATAGAAGGTAAATATTAACGATAGTAACAATGTAAGAATGATGGTAAATATTTTAGAAGTTAATTTGTGAAGGAAGTAGGAAAAATTTAAGAGCACAAACTTTTTAATCTGTCATAGGAAGAAATAATGATATACTTTCTAAAATTCATAAATAAAAAACATTTCTTTAGAAATAAATTATAGATTCTCTGCTCATTGCAAGTATTAGAAGAATAATCCATTTAGATGAAGCATTAGCCAAAAGGTGAATTTTAGAAAGGATTCTCAGTCATTTCACAGAAACCAAGAACTAGGAGGGAACTTTAGAACAACTAACAAAGAAATCAAAAGCCACAAGATTCCTTTCATATCAGATCCTCCTTGGGTATCTGTTTCCATATTTCTTCTCTCTCTGTCTCTACCTACAATTAAGTTTCTCCGGCTCACATAGAAGAAATCATGGCTAAAATCACTGGAAGATTATATATTATTACTTTAGTATTTGGTCCTGGTTTCTCTTCCTCATTTTCAGTTCTAATATTCTAAGGGAGTTATAGGTTATAACGTTAAGTGAAATAAGCCAGGCACAGAAAGACTATCACATGTTCTCACTCATATGCAGGACTTAAAAGTTATTTCATGGAGGTAGACAGTAGAATGATGATTACCAGATACTGGGAAGTATATGGGCGGGGAATGGGAGGGATGAAGAGAGGCTAATGAGTACAGACATACAGTTAGATAGAAGATGTAAGTTCTAATGTTCGATAGCAGAGTAAGGTGACTACAGTTATCAATATACTTTTAATTTATTATGTATTTCAAAATAGCTAGAGAGAAGATTTAAAATGTTTCTAACACAAAGGAATGATAAAAGTTTCCAGTCATGCATATCTTAGTAACTCTGATTTGATAATTACAGAGTCTGTATGTATCAAAATATGCATACCTCACAAATATGCACAATTATTACATATCAATTTTTTAAAAGAGAAAATTACACCATTATAATAAAATTCTGAGGGAAGTATTCAGATTGGCCCACTTAGGTCAGGTGTTCAATTTTGAACCAATGAATTATGCCACGAGAAGGGCTGAAAAAGAAGATTGTGATTTGCCCAGCTTAAGTCACATGCACATCACTGGACCTATTCACTATGGCCTGGAATCCAGGGCAGAGGTGAGATGAGGGTGGATTGGGGTGGAAGGTTCCCAAAAGTAAAAGGTTATTGGAAAAACCATTATAAATTTAAGTTGTGCTGTCTCAGATGTAATGAGAGGCGCCATGTGTAACTTTCACCACACACTACAGTTAAACATCATTCACCAGATATTTCTAGTGTCTCACCTTTCCTGGCTACTTTTGTCCGGTGAGTTGTGTGTGGAAGTGAAAGGCCCTTCAGAACTTTGTCCTGCTCAGGCACAGAGATGGAAGCATCCAGGCTGTTCCTTCAGCCCGGGTCTCTGGGAAAAGGGATCCTTGAGGAAGCCACATGAAGCTCAGGAGGAGGAAACACCTTCGACCATGAAATAAAATGTTTAGGTGAGGAATAAATGTTTGAGGTCATGGATATCTTAATAACCCTGATTTGTTCATTACAAATACATTACTTTGTATGTATGTATCAAAATATCACATGTACATCATCAATATGGAAAAGTATTAGGTATCAATAAAAAGAAAAAAGGCCACCATTTTAAGAAAATAGAGTGAAATTCTACAAAGAATAAAAGTCTGCCAATCTGTGATGGATATGTGCTATGAGAAATCTTCCTTTGTGTTTTAAGCCACTGAGATTTAATGGCATTTTGTGACCATAGCTGTACTTAGTCTACCCTAACTGACACTGTGACTCTGCACTACTCCGTGGCTACTGACTATATCATGGCTAAAACAATTCCACTCTAGTGCATTTTGCTGTTCCTCCTCCTCTCCTGCCGGGAGGTAAACACCTAGTTTCCATTTCTTTGATCCTCTTTCAGAAGAGGCTCCCACAAGGTTCCTGAGGGGAATCAGCTTCTTTACAGTCCAGGTTATCTTCTTAAAGAATGCAGATACTGAGTCCTGGGACAGAGGATGGAACACACAGATTTGCAAGCACTCCTATCTGCAACAACAACCCATTAAAAATTTTTCACCCTGATACTTAATTTATCATATGCTCCCAGAGTTATGCTTCACCTCTACATTTTATTTCAGAACTCAAGATGCTTCTTCCTTCTGACTGTCATGTGGCTTTGCTCAAGGATCCGCTGGTTCAATCATCAGACCTCGTAGGGCTATTACCGACGTCATACAATGTGGCCATAAATTACAGTACAAGGAATTTGACAGAGAAAATCTTCATAAATGAAATGTGAGAGAACCAAAAAATGGTAAAAGTTTTACCCTTTATAAAGGACTATCGATGGGCTAAAGCAGCGGTTCTCAACTGGGAAATGATTGTGCCTCCCAGAGACATTTTGTAATGTCTAGAGAATTCTTTGCTGTCACACCTGTACAGGCTGCTACTGGCATCCAGTGGGTAGAGGCCAGGGATGCTACTGAACATCTTGCAGTCCACAGGACAGCTACCCGTGATAAAGAATTATCTGACTCAAAATGTCCCTAATTCGGGGATTCAGAAAACCCAGGCTAAAGTCAGGTTTTAATTAGAAATTTGTCCTTAATTAGGAATTTGCTTCTCTGGATGCTGCCACATCCCTCCTCTCTAAACATAGCATATCCTTTCTATCTGAGATAAAATTTTTGGTATTGCAAGCACTAAAGGAATACTAACAGTAATACACAATAAGAGCATTGCCATAGTAGCCACCAAAACTCTTGGGAAAGTCCTATCTTTTAGGACTTTCGTTTGTTACCTGATTAAAAGAGAAGAAAATTGACTCCCTCCTAGGAGAAGCTATAAATCATTTGCTCATTCTCTTTCAAAAGAACTGAATCTTGCAAGCTTAATCATAACGTATTCTCAGAAAGTTAGAGGGAATATCTGGATCAGAGTTGTTTCTTTTTTCTTTTCTTTTCATTATACTTTAAGTTCTGGGATACATGTGCAGAACATGCAGGTTTGTTACACACATGCCATGGTGGTTTGCTGCACCCAACAACCCGTCAGCTACTTTAGGTATTTCTCCTAATGCTATTCCTCCCCTAGCCCCTCACCCCTCGACAGGCCCTGGTGTGTGATGTTCCCCTCCCTGTGTCCATGTGTTCTCATTGTTCAACTCCCACTTATGAGTGAGAACATGTGGTGTTTGGTTTTCTGTTCTTGTGTTAGTTTGCTGAGAATGATGGGTTTTTTTAATACTCCTGAGAGCCTGAAATGAGTGTACAGAACACGATATCTTGTTCTTTTAAACAGAAGCAGAGCCAATAACATAGGGTACTTTATAAACCAAATAACGTCTGGTGTCCTGAAGCTAAAGACATTGTTGGCACATCTTGCAGAATCACAGCTGTTTCAGTCTCATTTAGTGACTTGTCCCACTCTCTCGCAGCCCAGTTTGCCTTTCGAAATATAGCACAGCTAGCTATTCTGCAGCAGTGATTAAAGCCACTGACAAGGAAGTTTTTTTATTTGTTAGCTCTTTGTCTCAAAAGCTTTAGAAATCTTGACAAGTACTCTTACAAAATACAGATAACTTTCTTAAAAGAAGAAGCATAGAGATTTCTTAATGTACACATGACTGTGCATATTTTTATCAACAAACTAAATACACTTTGGAATCATGAGAATAAAATGGTACCTTTCTAAGATGAAAAAAAAATATTGAACAAATTTAACCACATGCAATGTCGTTTTAAGAAAGGATTCCTGTGACTTCATTCGCTTACCATGTGCATTTTTAGTTTGCAAAACAGTCTGCCAGCAACCCTTCTTAGTCAGACCTTTCTTATGGCAAAGCCCTATCCCGGAGGACTAAAGAGCTTAAAAATTGGTGAATATGCCATATTTTGACATAAGACAGCTGTGTGTAAATTGGAAGTGGGGCAAAAGGTGACATGAGCATAGACACTTCAAACTCCTCTAACAGGCCAAAAGAACAGTAAGAAATGGTTACAGTTCTTTGCATAAATGTCAAGGAAATAATTCCTTTGGGAAAAATTCATTCATTTGTTTAGGAAGTTGTTTAATAAAAAGCAGGAGTATTATGGTAATGCCCAGAAAACCACTGGCAGGAAATCATTCAATAGCATACACTGACTGTATTTCTCCTATACTCCAAAACACAATTATTTTTTATTACACTTTAAGTTCTGGGATACATGTGCAGAACATGCAGGTTTCTTACATAGGTAAACGTGTGCCATGACGGGTTTGCTGCACCCATCAACCCATCATTTACATTAGGTATTTCTCCAAATGCTATCCCTCCCCTAGTTCCCTACCCCCAACAGGTTCCAGTGTGTGATGTTCTCCTCCCTGTATCCATGTGTTCTCATTGTTCAGCTACCACTTAGAGTGATAAAATGTGGTGTTTGTTTTTTTATTCCTGAGCAAAACACAATTTTAAAAGTGACTATCTGAGATCTTTTGTATTTCACAGCAAATAAAACAGGTAACTGGTAATTTTTAATAAATTAAAGATTGAAGTGAAAATAAACTCAAAGGTTTGTTTCTATAGTTGATTAAGTAAAGGGTAGTGAATTTAGAATTGATGGTATGGGCTGAAAATGTTTAAGAGTTGCTAAAGTAAATGGTCTCTCAACTTTCATTGGTAAATAATGTATCTCATTGAATATTCCTCACCAAAACCTAAGTTTTCACCTTTGCGTAAAAACAAAGCTTTTAAAACATATTAGGTGAAGATCTTCTGAATGCAAATAATATAATTTCCCATCTTCTTAAGTACACTAGAAAGCAAACTTTCTTAACCTGGGAGACTATAGACCTGGGAGGGAAGAGCTCCATAAATAGGTATCTGCAGATCTGAGAGCCCCATGAAACTACACACAGAACTGTATAGACAGCTAAACTTTTAATCATCTTCTCAAAGAGATCCAGATCTCATAAAAGGTTAAATACCACTGGTACAACACAGAACATAAATTAATGCATTTTTGATTAATCAGTATATTCATTAAGTTGCAAAACAGTATTAATCTATTATTGTACCATAACACTAGAACATGGTGATGTCTGCAGAACATATTGAGGTGATTAGATCTATTCATTTAGCCACAATGTGACTATGAA